GAGCCAGGCTCAGACCAGCCACTGCCTGATCAAGGAGCGGACACAGAAACCACGTGCTTCAACCAGGCCTCAGGAAACTCTGGGTGTTAGCTGGGGCTGCTGTCAGCTTTGCCTCAGCCCCCAACCGGGTTCCTTCTCTGGGCCTCAGCTTCCTCGTCTGAGTGTGGCAGTGGGGTGAGCTCACGGTGGGTCTGGGGGCGTTTTGGCAGGTCTCCGTCTCCCAGCAGGCTCCTTACTGGCCCGGTTCTGAGACCAGAGCTCAGTAGGTGGCAACCAGGCAGGGCCTGGGAGGTGGGGTGACGTGCCCACTCCTGCCTGTTGGGTAGACTTGGGGAAGCACGGCAGCCTTACACAGCGGCCCCACACGCTGTCCTGCCTCCCCTGGCCCGATTCCTGGAGGAGGAGGCCTGTGCATGGGGGACCCTGCACCTTCCCCAGTCTGGCAAAGGAGACTTGCAGTGTGCACAGCTGCCCTGGGTGTGGGATGGGTGCCCCTGCCCCTGCCTCTTTGGACAGAAGCGTTGGTCTGGTCAGTCTCAATCAACCATCGTGAGGCCTGGGATGGCCGTGTGTCACCCCCACTGTCCCCAGCCAGGAGCCCCTCACTCACCTCTGGCAGATCAGCCATGTCGGGGGAGGCTAATCTCCTCCTGTCCCTCCACCCCGTTATCTGCACTCCTTACCCACAAAGTGGAGGGAGGCATGGGAGGGCTGCCCAGCTTGGCCCAGCTGTCTTTTCTGGACAACCCACCTCCCCCACCCCCTGCCTCCCCAGGATCCTGGGAGCCAAGCCACCTTCTGTCCTCCTGAGCTCCCCATGCCACCCAGGTCCTGGCCCTGTAGCCTACCCTGGCCACACGGGGGAGGGCCTGGCATCCAGGGAGGGCACGTCCGGGCTGTGGCGGGGGAGCCCTGGCCTCTGCTGTGCTGGTGATGGCCGTTCTCCTTCGTTGCAGAGCTTATGCCCCTCAGCAGGGGTCCCCAGGCTGAGGCAGCCCCGCACCCTGTACCCCTGGCGCCGGGCACCCACGCTGGGTCGCGTGCGGAGAGCCTGGGTCATCCCTCCCATCAGCGTGTCGGAGAACCACAAGCGCCTCCCGTTCCCCCTGGTGCAGGTGAGGAGCCAAATGGAGGGGGACCCTGAGGGTGTGTGCTTTAGGAAGGGGGAACCCTGGGGCCACAGGCCGAGTGACTTCGTCCTAGCTGGGGGAGGGGCCAAGGACTAGGGGAGAGACCCCTCCCCTGGGGGCACCTTCCCCAGCCTGTTTCCTGGCCCGCAGATCAAGTCGGACAAACAGCAGCTGGGCAGCGTCATCTACAGCATCCAGGGGCCCGGTGTGGACGAGGAGCCGCGAGGCGTCTTCTCCATAGACAAGTTCACCGGGAAGGTGTCCCTGAACGCGATGCTGGACCGAGAAAAGACCGATCGCTTCAGGGTGGGCCCCGCCCCGCCCAGCCCCGCCCCACCTATTCCCTCCGGGGCCCCACCCACATCCCCGCCTGCCAGACTAGCGTCCTTAGCTGGGCGGCGCGGGCAGGATTTGGGACCCGCTCCCACAGAGGCAGGTGTTCAGGGTCGCTCGCCCATTGGACAGATGCGCGTGAGCAGGCTGAGGGCTGCATCCTGCCCGGGAGGACTGGGCAGCCAGCAGCAGGGTGGGCGTCAGTTTTCCCAGGTGTGGCCGGTTCTCCCCCCAGCCTGCTAAGTGTGGGGGGGACGGGCGCCGTGGGGAATCCCACGGAATTGGCCACCCGCAACGCAGCTGCCCCATAGTGACTGTCAGGGTGGGGTGGGTGGCATGGGACCTGCCCATTGGAGGTCTTGGGATTGTGGAGCCTGAGAGGAAGGGCGTGGGGAGGGGAGTCAGGACTGGGTGAGCCAGGCGTGGAAGAGGGGAACCTGGAATTCACCTGAGTCTCCTGTAAACAGAGGATCAACCCCCTAGCCTGGCCCAGGGAGGGAGCTTCAGACTTTGTTTTCACGTGCCCTGAGTCGTCCCAGACTTTGAGAGGCTAGTTCCCTTACGCAGAGTCAGAGACCGTGTTTCCCTGGAAGTTGTATCAAGTCTATCCTCCAAAGGGACAGGAGGTGGCTTAATTTAAAACTTCACGTGTGGAGAGGAAACTTCAAAAGCAGCCAAAACCGTTTACAGAAAAAGGGCCCCGAGACCAGGAGCACTTAGGGAGCGCTCCAGGCGCACTTAACACAAGGCTGTGACTTCCCGGAAAGTGGGCAGGCTTGGTGGCCGGCTGGCCTGCTGGGATGACGCAGGCGCCCCCTGGTGGGGAAATCCCGCCTGCCCAGCACTGCTTCTCACCTGTTCGGGGCAGGAAGCAAAATCGGCTCTCACTGTCCCTGTCGCCCTCGTGGGAGCTACTGGAAATTGGGGGCCACAGTGCCAGCCCTTGCTGTCTGCTTCACTAGCTCAGGGCCTTTGCTCTGGACCTGGGGGGGTCCACGCTGGAGGAGCCCACGGACCTGGAGATCGTGGTGGTGGACCAGAACGACAACCGGCCTGTCTTCAGGCAGGAGGTGTTCACTGGCCGGGTGCTGGAGGGTGCTGTCCCAGGTGAGCCGGGTGGGGCCCCAGTGGGGGAGGGGGCTTTGCCATGGGCACTGGTGGCTCAGAGGTCCAGGGTTTCCCGTCAGCGAGAACTTGAGAGGTCCTTCAGAGAGTCTCCAGGGTGGAGGGAATTTCCACAGGCCAACTCAAGTCACTTCCTGTTGCAATATAAATTTCAATGCCCCAGTCTTCCAAAATGCAGAGATGGCAGATCCTGGATGGCAAACCTCTGGTGGTTTCTGTTGCCCTCCCCTTCCGCTTCTACCTCCTGCCCTTCCTCTCCCTCCCACCCCTCCTTCCTCTTCCCCACTTCTCCTTCTAAATAGAGGTGAATTCACATAATGTAAAATTACACATTTTGAAGTGAACATTCAGTGGCGTTTACCACATTCACAGTGTTGTGAAACCACACATCTGTTCCTTCCGAAACAGTCTCAGGCCCAAGAGGAGACCCCCCTGCTCATTATCGGCACTGCTTTTACTGCTTATTAATTCTACACTTTGATTGCGGAACCCCCCACCCTCTACCCCTCATGAGTCCTCACAGGACGGATTCACTGGCCTGATTCTGTTCCAAAGAAGACAGACATTGCAGACAGCGGTCTACCCCTACCCCTCCACCCTGGTCCCAGGGGCTCCAGTCTGATCCCCAGCCAGGCATGCTGCAGAGGTGGGAAGGCTCAGGGTCACCACCAAGGCATGCCCATCCTTTGCCACATGCGTGTGCGTGTGTTTAATCTGACTGTGCTGGGTCTTAGCTGCAGCATACAGGGTTTTCAGTTTCCGCACTGAACTCTTACTTGTGGCATACAGGATCTAGTTCCCCAACCAGGGGTTCAACCCGGGACCCCTGCTTTGTGAGCCCAGAGTCTTAGCCACTGAACCACCAGAGAAGTCCCCACGTGTGTTTATTTCATCCCATTTTATCCTTTTCAAGACTTAAAATGACAGTAATTTTTTTTTTTTTTTACTTCTTATTTCTCATTCTGACATGGTTTCAGAGTTTCAGGAAAGTTGCCCCAAATCCCTGGACAGGCATCAGAGAGGTGCACTGTGTATCGTGTTTGCCTCAGCCACTGTTTCCTTGTTTCACATGCTTCCTGTCTGGACCTGGTTACAGACGTGAGGCCTTCAGAGCACACACTTCAGTGACTTAGTGTCACCATCATCAGGAGGCGACACAGTTACTGACACAGTAACATCTCGCCTATGGCCTCAGTGGGTGCGTGGGGAAGGGCACCGCCCCCCGTGTGGGCACCAGTGGCTGCGACAGCCTCGGACCCTCTTCCTGCTTCCATGGGGCACTTCTCCTGCTATACCAGGGGAGCCCCCATGTGTACACCTCCCTGGGGGCCACTCACAGCCTGGACCCCCAGGACGTCAGGTCACCTGTGCCCCACCATCTGACATGCTCACACAGGGGTGATCTTGAGGATTCCCCCTTGTTATGGTTGTGGGGCAAGACTGACACCCCCACCTGCTCATGCACCCTTGTTGGGGACAGTTCCTAGGCCACCAGGTCTTCACAGTGCTGCCTTTTGTTTTGCAAACTTTTATTGTAGCAAAGTGCATATAAGAAAATTTGCCCTCATAACCATTTCTAAGTGGCTTTAAGTCCATTCACATCACTGTGCAACTACCACCACCATAGAATTTTCTCATTTTCCCAACCAAAACTCTGTCTCCATTAAATACTAGCTCTCCATTTCCCCTCTCCAGCCCCCAGCACCTACTGGCTACTTTTTCCTGCATGACTTGACTGTGTATGGGTGAAATCACACAGCATTTGTCCATCCGTGTCTGGCCTATTTCACTGAGTGTCACGTCCTCAAGGTTCGTCAGTGTGGTGCGTGGGTCAGCATCGCCTTCCTTTTCAAGCCTGAATAACACTCGCTGGATGTTTGTACCACATTTTGCTGATCTGCTTATTAACTTCAGTGGACACTTGGGTTGCTTTCACTTTTTAGCTATTGTGAGTAGTGCTGTACTGGACATGGGTGTGCAAATATGTCTTTGAGACCCTGCTTTCAATTCCTTTGGGTACATACAAAGGTGGGATTTCTAGATCATATAGCAGTTCTATTTTTAACTTTTTGAGGATCTTCCATAGTGTTCTCCATCATGGCTGCACCATTTTTCATTCCCACCAACAGTGTAGGAGGGTCCCAGTTTCCGCACATCCTCACCAGCACCTGCTGTTTTCTGTTTTGTTGTTGTTTTGTCAGCAGCCATCCTGTGAGGCTGATAACAAAGCAGGGGCCCAGGTTCAATCCCTGGTTGTGTGGCTGGTGCAAGGGGGTATCTCATGTGGTTCTCATTTGCTTTTCCCCAGTGATTAGTCACGTAGAGCATTTGTTCATGTGTTTATTGACCATTTGTACATCTTCCTTGGAGAAAGGACTGTCCAGTCTTTTGCCCATTTTTTTTTAAAGGGGATTACAACAGGTTTATCTTTTAATTTCATGTTTCTTGAGCAAGAACAAAATAAAAATAAATGTAAAGAGGTCTGGGTGGATCAGTCATGGGGCTTCTCTAAGTCTGCGCTCTTTGTCTTCTGCTTGGATAGCTCTTTGATAGCATTCAGCTCTGCAGGAGTGAATTTGGGGGTTAGCACCACTGCATCGTAATCGAATTCTTCATCAAGCGAGAAGGGCTGAACTTCATCTCCAACGATCTCTTCCCTTTGTTTGTCTGCTCCTTTCACGGTGGGCCCAGGCTTGGTTCCAGGAGTGAGAGGCTGGCCGGCCACAGAAGGAATGTAAGAGGGAACACTCAAGCTCACTTCTTGCTCCACTTGTCCTGGAAGCAGCAGCACGTCCTTGCTCAGTTGGGGATTAATCTCTTCATCCAGGTCCAAATCTTCTATATCAAGGAAATTGTCTACCTTCACCTCCCCTGCTCGATTCAGATCACCTTGAAAGCAACTGCCAGCTTTTTGGCCATCATCTATCATTATCTGCTCCTCTTCCGAACATTGTGATGAAGTGCGAAGAAACATGGCTTTATTGCTAAGATGGTGATCATTTGGTTCATTTCTCTGAGTAAATTTTATTGAAGTAAAATTGTTTTCTGAAGAATTAGTTCCAAAGACTTCTCTTTTGGTCACATTATCTTTTGAAAGATAAGTGAACGTTCTCAGAAATTCTTCATATGTTTGCTCATGACAATTAACAAATTTATCCAAGACTTCTTCAATTAGCTGATCTTCATCCATCACCTCCAATTCTGGTGTCTGGGCAGGCATTCCTATTCATGAGGCCACTTTATCTCCCATTCCCTAGTTTTCCGTCTTGGCTCCCAGCTAGTCACTTCGCATTTTTTGCATCTTTACTCCTTTTGCCCATTTTTTAATAGAGCTGTTTGTTTTTTTGTTTGGTTGAGTTTTACAGGTTCTCTACATATCCTGGATATCAGATCCCTTATCCCTTAACAAACAGATGATTTGAAAATGTTCTGTAGATCTCATGGGTGGTCTTCTTGCTCTGTTGATGGTGTCTTTTGATGCATTTCTGATGCTTCATGAAGTCCAGTTCATCTGTTCTTGTTGCTGTTGACTATGACTTTATTGTCATAAACAAGAAATCATTGCCAAATGCAGCATTGTAAAGTTTTTGCACTGTGTTTTCTTCTAGGAGTTTTATAGTTTTGGGTTGTACTTTTAGACTTGATTCCCTTTGAGTTGTTTTTTGTATGTCGTGTTAAGTAATTCCAGGTCCAGCTCCATTCTTCTGCAGGGGGATATTCAGCTTTCGCAGCACCGTTTGCTGGGAGACGGCCTGCTCCCTGTTGAACGGTCCTGGCGTCCTCTGTAGACTCACCTGTCCAGGGGGGTGAGGCTTATTCTTGGGGTCTCTGTTCTGTTCCATTGGCCTGTGTGTCTATCTTGAGGGCAGATGCGCACAGATTACTGTACCTGTGGAGAAAGCTTTGAAATCAGGAAGTGTGTCCTCTAACTTTGTTCTTTTTCAAAATTGTTTTGGCTGCTCAGGGTCCCTTGAGATTAGACAGGAACTTTAGAATGATTTTTTTTTTTAATGTGAAGAAAATATCCTTGGGATTTTGAGAGGGCTTGCATTGAATCTGTAGGTCACTCTGGGTGGTACTGACCACTTGGCAGCAAGTCTTCCAGCCCACAATCATGGGCTGTGTGTCCATTTATTTATGTTTCCTCCAACTTCTCTCACTGACGTTTTATAGTTTTCATTGTGAAAAGTCTCTTGCCTCATTGGTCATGACACTGACATCCTGAGGTATGTAGGCAGTCACTGTGAACCTTGTCTCTGAGTGGAGCTGTGTGGTTGGACCCCCTCAGGAGATGCACAGGTCCTGTTCCTGGAGATGCCTGACTTTGGCCGGTAGTTAGAAGGGTGTCTGCCAGGCATCTCCACTATGATTGTTGTACTTTCCTCTTCATGGAGATCCTTTGAGACGGTGCAGGTGTCCCCTCACGCTGACACAGAAGCTTTGATGTCCCTGAGGCTCCTGCCTGCCAGGTATTAACTGTCCTGATGGTTGGGAAGTGACAGGGTTCTAGTTCCATCTTTTCCCCTTTGTCATCACTCAGCTTTCTATTACATGATAGAACTTTCAGTCCCCCCTTTATGAATGTATGAGTGTATGTGTTACCCACCAAGGTGCTTGGCCTCCTTAATAGAAGTTATTCAAAGGCCAGGCAAGAAATTCAGGCAAGGCTTTATTGAGGCTTCCGCGCAGGAGTGGGGGACAAATACAAGTAACAGATCTCCTTGTTCACTCCCCAAGTGGGGGCAAGCTTGTTCCTTATATGGGGTGAGGGGAGGGGGTATCCGGGGTTCAGGGGTCAGGTGGGAGGTTGTGGCTTAAATGATTTGCCCACCCCTTAATGGGTGTTGAGTGCAGAGGGCATGCGCAGTACCCTGCTTTTGCTTCCAACCCCATTTTTGCTCTTCAGAAGTGGCAGTTGGGGTTTTTTTGGTCTTTTTTTATCTTGTCCATAATTTGACCCACTGCACATGCACACAGGCATGCAGCTACTTTCAGTCCATTAGTTTCTTTGTATTTGCTGATTGAGGAGAAGTCTGTCCAGATGTAAGCACTGCAGCACTGGGTCCCAGGTCCCAGCCTGTCTCATATGTATTTTGTTCATATGTATCAGTCTGCCTTTATGGAGTCTCTCTTCATTCAATGAGTTATTATTCTTTGCACCATTATTTTGAAGCTGAAAGCTTCGCTGATCAGAAGATCATCAAAGCAGCCCAGGCCCTTTCAGTAGCCAAAGCTGCTCATGTATAGGGTCCAGAGTGTGTGTGTGCATGTTTGTATGTGTGTTTGTGCATATATATGTGCTCACTCACAGCCATGTTTGCACATGTTTCTACCTTCATCACAAGTCATGAGTCCTCTCTGGCACTTCCACTTCCGATCCAGCTCCATGGATCCCTTCTGGATCTCTGACAGTGAGAAGCTGGTCTCCCATCACCCCAGGAGTTTGCTCACTTGCTCGGTTGTAGAGAGCATGGCAGTTGCTTTAGGAAGCGCTCACTTGCATACCGGTGCCTGTTCTAAGCATTCTTTTTGGCTTCAGCCTGGGGTCCAACATTGTGCCAGGAGTTGGTAGCTCCCCACCTCCAAGGCTAGGCCAGTGGCTGGGTCATTACTGCTCATTAGACACCAGCGTGACTCTCAAATGACCCGACAGGGCCCAGGAGGGTCTGCGGTGAGCCCAGTCACAGGTTGGGGGGCAGCTCCCTAGATGGCCCGAGGCCAGCCCACCTCACTGGGTTCACTTAGTACACGGGAGCTGGGGTGGGGGGTCAGGTCTGAATCGCTGCAGAGGAAAAACAAGGTGGGCATTGGTGCTGAAGTGTCTCCAGGGACTGGTGGACCCCCCTCTCCTGAGATTGGGAACACTGGTGGGCACAGGTGCCGAGTGCCTGGGGGGGGGCCCATGTGCCCCTCTTTCCCGAGATTTGGGGACATGTTTGGCCCAGAGTGCAGGTACAACCTGGGCACTGCTTCACTCTGCAGGTGGGGCTGAGGTCAGGGCCTGCTCAGTGGTGGGCTCACCAGCTACCTCCCCAGGGGCTGGTTCCCAGTGAGCTTGCCTGGTCCGTCTTGGGGTCCTGTGGGAGACAGGTGTTAACTGTGTGCACTGGACACCCCACCTCCTCCCCGACAAGCAGCACGAGCCAGGATGCTGGGACGTTCGTGTGTGCACAGGCTGACTGAGGGCCTGGAACTGGCACGGTTGCATGCCGCGGGGGAGCAGGCAATGCACCCTGGAGCTGGAGGCTGGCACCCCTGGGCATCACCCCCACATGTCCCTGCCCTTTACAGGCACCTATGTGACCAGGGCTGAGGCCACGGATGCGGATGATCCAGAGACAGATAATGCAGCGCTGAGATATTCCATCCTGGAGCAGGGTGGCCCCCAGCTCTTCAGCATCGACCCGCTCACGGGGGAGATACGCACAGTGCAAGTGGGCCTGGACCGAGAGGTGAGGCCACACCACTGTGTCTCGACAGCTGGACAGGGCAGCCCGCACTAGGGGCCTGATTGCCACAGACCCTCCCAGTTGCCCTGGGCTCCCGCAGACCTACCTTGTGGGTGGTTGTGCTGTTGGATGCAAAGACAGTGTGAGGGGCCCTCAGCTTGTTTTCTGTTGAAAAATCTCCCTCACCTCATTGCCTGCAAAGCAGTTAGGCTCCCTGGCCTGGGTTAGGGCCACCGAAAAGTGCCCCTCACCTCTTGGGCCCCACAGTGTCTGCTCATTCTCTGTGGGGCCCCTGCAGCCCCTCACTGCCAGGCTTCTGTGTGGCATTGGCACCTCCAGGAAATCCTCCTTGGTTTCCCCAGGGCCAGTCACTACATTAGCTGATCTCTGTCCTCTCTCTTGGCCATTGCTCCTGTCTCTCCAGGGCAGAGACCTGCCCCCCACATGCAGCAGGTGCCCCCCAAAGCACTTATCCAATGTGGCAGCTGACCTCTTGCCTACTCACAGGCTGGGGCAGACTCTGGGGTCAGCAGTGGTGCCATCCAAACCTGAGAGGACAGGCAGCCTGTTTTGCTCCAGAGCTTGGGAGCAGGACAGGAGCTGGAGCCTCCTGGAGTATGCATGCCCTTCCCCCCAGGCCCTAAGGTGGCCAACCAGCCTTGCCCTGCGCTCCACCTGGGTGTCCTGACCCCTGTCACTGTGTCCCCAGGTGGTCGCCGTGTACAATCTGACCTTGCAGGTGGCGGACATGTCTGGAGACGGTCTTACCGCCACCGCCTCAGCCATCATCACGCTGGAGGACATCAATGACAACGCCCCTGAGTTCACTGGGGACCAGGTGCCACCTCTACATGCTGTTGCCCAGGGCTGCCCTCCCCCCATCCTGGTTGTTGGAGGACTGGGAGGCTGGGTGCTCAGAGGAGGCACCCTGCGTGGGTTGTGCAGGACCCCAGGCTAGAGGCCAGCATGGGGCCTGTGAGCATGTCAGGAGCTGGAGGGCCCTGGAGGGAAGCCACCGAGACCCTGGGTTAGGATGTGTCCCCAGTTCCTCCTAGGTGGGAGTGGGGGCAGCCCTGCTCCAGGGGAAGATGCGCTCAGGGCATGGCTCAACCTGGAGGGGGCTCCCTGGGTCATGGACTCCCTGAATGTAGGTAGCAGGAGGGTGAGCCCCCAGGGGACCATCGCCCACCCCGCCGGCCAGTGAGTAATGGGGCTGGGTTCCCACAGTTCTTCATGGAGGCCGCAGAGGCTGTCAGTGGAGTGGACGTGGGGCGGCTTGAGGTGGAGGACCGGGACCTGCCTGGCTCCCCCAACTGGGCAGCCCGGTTCACCATCCTGGAGGGTGACCCCGACGGGCAGTTCACCATCCGCACCGACCCCAGGACCAACGAGGGTGTGCTGTCCGTGGTGAAGGTGAGCTGATGAAGGCGCCTCTCCTTACACTCTGGAAGCCTATTTGGACCCTCTGTGCATCCTAAGAATGGAGCCGAGGGGACTGGGAACACAGACTGGGGCCACGCTGACCACAGAGGGCCAGGGCTGAACGGAGTGGGCAGCCCCCAAGCACATGTGTTATTTCTAGTATTTTGGCCCTTAATGCAAGTGATCAATGTGCACAAGTACGGACCTCATGTGTCAGCCAACCAGAGACAAAACCAGCAGGAGATACGTGTGCACACATGCACACACACACCCATGCCTACACACATGTGCCTACACACATCTGCAGAGAGACACAGATGTAGCTATCGCTATATGAAGACCTTTCTTGCAAGAGACTGACTCGAGCTGGCCAGCCAGGTGTTTGTGAGGGGAGCTGATGAGTCCAGAATCTGCAAGGCTGCGAGAAGCTGCAGAGTTGGGAGCTGAGGCTGTGTCAGAGGCAGGATCCCATCCTCCTAGGGGAAACCTCAGGTTTGCTCTCAGAGACTTACCCACACATGAAACCCACCCAGGTTCTCCAGGATCGTCTTTATTTACAGTCAGTGGTTGTACAGGTCAGTTCAACCACATTGACCAGACACCTTCTTAGCAATAAGACCCAGATCACTGTCTGCTTGAGTCACTGAGAAGGAAGCCTGGCCAGGGGATGGAAACTGACCTCACAACACCTGACAGGCATTCGAGTGTCGAGAGTATTTTCCCGTTATTCTCTCTGCATAGTTTTTATCTTTCCAAGGCTACAAAGAAGAAGCAAAGAAGGCACTCCGAGGACAGAGCAGGAGGGGCCTCGCCAGCCTATAGCTGCCTCTGGGTGCCCTGAATGTGGGGTTCAGAGTCCTGACAGGCCACCACCCTGCTTCCCCTTACAGCCCCTGGATTATGAGAGTCGGGAGCGGTATGACCTCAAAGTGGCCGTGCAGAATGAGGCCCCCCTGCAGGCAGCTGCCCCCAGGGCTGAGCGGGGCCAGGCCAGGGTCAGCGTGCAGGTGCGGGATGTCAACGAGGCACCTGTGTTCCAGGAGAATCCACTGCGGACCAGCTTAGCTGAGGGGGCTGCCCCAGGAACGCCTGTGGCCACCTTCTCTGCCCGGGACCCTGACACACAACAGCCACAGAGGCTCAGGTGAGGGCCCGCGCCTCTGCCTCCAAGCCAGGGCAGGAGCACAGCTAAGGGTACACAGCCCTGTGTCCTGAGGATTCTCTTCCCATGAGAGACCCGGTCAGAGGGCAGAGGGCTTCTCTGCATGGTCACTGAGGGCTCAGGGGCTCTCAAGGGCCTGTGTGCTTGTTCACACGACCTCATCCTATAGGCAGGGCTGGGTTCCAGATGGCACATGCCTACACAACCAGTCTGTGTTGGCCAGCCTCTGGGTGTCTGGCCCTGTCCATTCTGGGGAGCCCTTGCTCCCTGGGACTGGTTGTCACTGTGTTGGATTTCACCCCCTGCCCTGGCCCTGTTCGTCTATGTTTGTATCCATTGTGCCCACCAGTGTGTCTTGGCTGTCACCTCTGGCCATGGGGCCTGGGCAGCTCCCCTGCCCTACCCAAGCCTGTTTCTTTGTCTGTTGATTGGGACAGAAAACACCAGCTTAAGGCTGTGGGAGGACTATCCTTCAAGGGGACGTGTGTGTGAGTGTGTGTGAGTGTGTGTGTGTGTGTGTGTGAGTGTGCTCCCATCTACACATGACTACACACCTCTGGGAGTTCTGCTCAGGCTCA